CTGACTTAACCCTGATTTAACCCTGATTTAACCCTGACTTAACCCTGATTTAACCACTGACTTAACCCTGATTTAACCACTGACTTAACCCTGATTTAACCCTGACTTAACCCTGATTTAACCCTGATTTAACCCCTGACTAGCCCTGGTTCAACCCTGATTTAACCTTAACACCAACCGTTAGAGTGGTTTGTATCAAACATGTATAACAATCAGACCAACAAACTCCAGAAGGATAAAAAGGTAAAAAGTGAATTTAAGAAAAGGAAACTATGAGAAGCATTAAACCTGTGAAACTAGGAAGTTAGATCAGCTCAACAAGCTGAAGGTTTGTTGGTGAAGATCTGAAAGTTTGATTGTATGAAAAGCTACAAACAGCAGCTGAAGTTAAACCAGGTTTACTCTCATTAAACCTGATTATTGATATTAAAACGAGTCTTTTTAATTACATTTGATCAAACTGTCTCTGTTGGACGAGGAGCTGCTGCCAGCTGTTAACTGTTGTTTCTGTTGGATTTTTTTAAGTTTTGGTCACAAAATTTTCATAAAAATATAAAAATAAAAGGTAAACAACAATAAAGAATCGTTCAATTAATTTTTCGGTCACATTTTATGTATTTATTTGTTTGTTTGTTTGTTTATTTGTTAAATTGTTCTGTAAGGACCGAACCTTAGTTTTCAGCAGCTGCAGCCTTTGATGGATGAGTTTGGGTCAGAACCACTCGGTCCAACACATTATTCAGCGACTCGTCTCTTCCGCTGTGTTGGACCAGAGTAATGGAGTCTCTGGTTAATTCGCTCTGACCAGCAGCTCTCCTGCTGCCTCCAGGAAACCTCACCGCTCAACTCATCCGATCAGAACTCGGTGCAGGAAGCAGGATGTTTTTAAGACGAAGGACTTTACAGGATGAAGATTAGTTCAGGATCCAGGATTTTTTCTGTTCTGACAGAACTTTGAGTTGTAGAGAAATAAAAGCAGCTCAGTCGTCTCACCGTCACTCAGGACTCTGCTCTGTGCGACCCGTGGGTGTGRGCCGGAACCTGACTTTTTATCTTAACAGAGTTAAAAACTGAAGAGTTGTCTCTGGTTCTGTGGATCCAGCTTCTTCTTGTGTTTCTCTGAGATGCTGAGTCATGTTTGATAAGAAAATTAATCCCATTAAAACAAAAGTCTTTGAGTAAAAACAGGAACATCGTCAGAAAAAAGTCAAACTGTGTTTTAAGGACACGAAGCACCAAACTCCTCTGAGTTTTTTCTGTCTGAGATAAACTGAGTGAATAAATCTGTTTAAAGTTGGACGGTTCTGTCTCTGTTGGTCCAAACCTGGACCTAAAGACCCCCAGTCTTCTTCCTGTCTGAGGTTAAACACTTCCTGCCATCATGAAGCCGCAGAGCTTCAGCAGTCAGATGTTCAGTTTAGAGCTCTTCAGAGACCCAGACGTGTTTAACCGGGCCAGAACCCACGAGCCGGGCCTGATGAGTTTATTGATCCTGAGCTAACGACTGCAGCTCCTCACAACTCTTCTGTCTCTGTTTTATCAGCTGCTTGTTTCAGTTGCAGAGTTCCATCTGAGCTCACTTTGCTTCAAACACAAAAGTTTTTACTTGAAAAGTAATTTATTTAAATATTTATTCAACTTTATGACCTTTATTCTGGTTTATAAACACATTTATTTAATAAACCCTCCATGTTTTGTTCCTAAAGTGTGGCTTTAAAGTACCTGTGACATGCACATCTATGAAACACAAAAAGTCAAAGAAAATATATTTATATTTAGTAAACTTGGTATAATACACATGATTTGACCCATTATGTCACATAACTGACATATTTTCTTTAGAATTTGGCTCAGCTAAAGTGAAACAGGAAGTGACATCAAAGGGGAACTCTTTGAGAAAGAAAACTTCCTGTTTTTTGTTTATTGAAACAATATTATTTGAACTATGACTTTTTCTCATCTCTCTATGATAGTGATTAAAATAATGTAAAGAAACATCAGATTCTGGTCTGCAGTCTGTGTTGTAACAACGCTCTGTTTARGTTCAGACACTCCCCTGTGACATCACTTCCTGTTTCTTCACATGCAAATATCTCAACAACCGTTCATCTCACTGATGTGAAATCTTTTTTACAATATGTTATCAATGTTATCTTTCCAAAAATACATTCATATTTATTATAAAAAATTGATGTCCCAGGCACTTTAATGTTTTTATAAATGTTATATTTGACTTGTTTAATGCTGTTTCCTCAGATGTCAGAGTTGAATCAAACTTATTTAAATGTTTTTAACCCTGCAGAACCATCAGAACCTCCTTCTGCTCACAGGTCAACAGGGTTTTGATCTGAGGCTCAGTTTCTAGTTTGTTTGATTGAAAGGCTTTAAGCCCCGCCCCCTCGCTCTGCTGCAGATTTATCAGCATATTTAAAAATATGGTATAAAAGATAATTTATTATTTTCTTTTCCAGATAATTTCTACAAGGTGGAAGGAGCCAAAGATGCCTTAATCTGTGGGAACAGCAGTGACGCTGGGTGAGTCCAGATTCATGGGATTTAAAGGTTCTGACCCGGGTTCTGGTCAACATGTTGCTGTTTGCTTGGATGATGGGGCATATTTATTATTTAAACATAAAGTTTCTGTATTTTGAAGCAGTTTAGACGTAAAAACCAATCAGCTGGTGTTATTTAGTGATGATAAGTCTTTCTCCAGAGTTTGGTCTGGTTTTGGGTTTGCAGCTCCTGATGGTTCTGGACCAACAGAGCCGGGTTGGTTCTTTGTTTCTGGGTTTATTAAAGTTGATCTCAGAGGTTTTAAATCAAACCTGATGTTTCTGCAGAGAAACAACCTGAAAATATTCAACTCAAAAGAAAGTCAAAGTTCAAAACTTTAAATTTTGAGCAGTTGTTGGTTTGAAACTTGCTCAAAGGCTGCTTTTGTTGGCTCAGTTCTTTACAGAACCGGGTCTTTTGGACCCGTTTGCTGTCTTGTATCAGGAGGAGTGAAAATGTGATTCCTGTCAGGTTTTGGTTCTTTTGGATCGACACAAACACATTTCCTGTTGGTAGATCAGTCTCAGAGTCCCAGTCCTGGTCCGTTTGGACCTCGCTGCTGGAGCGGTGACCTGCAGAGCTGCGAGACACGTCAGAGACGACTCGTCTCGGCGGGACGCTGACAGACTCTGACTGACGAAGCCCCGACGACACCGCGTCCACGCCGCTGCCTGAAACCCGGGATGGAGACCCGGCGAAGGCAGGGAGAGAGGCAACACGTAGTGAAGGAAACATCCTACAGGGAGGCAGGGAGGAGGAGGTTCAGAGGAGGTGAGGAGGACGAGGAGACAGACGCAGATTAGAGGAGACAGGAGGGACGAGGACGAGAGCTCGGAGCAGAAATCAGAAAATATCTGCAGAAACGAGCAAAGGTGCCTGAAATTCCAGCACCCATCAACAAGAATCAGGCTCTTATTTTGAAGAGTGTCTTTGAGCTTTATTTTGAAGCTCCAGGTTCAAACCTCTTCCTGTTTCCTGTCGACCCTCTGACAGAATCAAAGATCAGAGATGACAGGATGGATCTACGGTGGTTTTGAAGCCTGATGAGAGCAGGACAGGGTTTGTTTTATTGGTAGAAACTTCCAGATGTGAGCTGGACTCAAACAGCTGCAGGACAGAGGACAGAGGACACAGGACACAGGACAGAGGACACATGACAGAGGACACAAGACACAGGACACATGACAGAGGACACAGGACACATGACAGAGGACACAGGACAGAGGACACAGGACAGAGGATAGAGGACACAGGACAGAGGACACAGGACAGAGGACACAGGACAGAGGACACAGGACAGAGGACAGAGGACAGAGGACACAGGACAGAGGACACAGGACAGAGGACACAGGATAGAGGATAGAGGACAGAGGACACAGGACAGAGGACACAGGACAGAGGACACAGGATAGAGGACAGAGGACACAGGACAGAGGACACAGGACAGAGGACACAGGACAGAGGACACAGGACAGAGGACACAGGACAGAGGATAGAGGACACAGGACAGAGGACACAGGATAGAGGATAGAGGACACATGACAGAGGACACATGACAGAGGACACATGACAGAGGACACATGACAGAGGACAGAGGACAGAGGAGACATGACAGAGGACAGAGTACACATGACAGAGGACACAGGACAGAGGACACATGACAGAGGACAGAGGACACAGGACAGAGGACAGAGGACACAGGCCGATGCTGGAATCAGCAGCAGGCGTGTTTACTTCCTGTACTGGAGCTGCTGAGCTCATACAACATGCTGAGCCTGAGGCCAAAGGTCTCTGAGATAAAGCCACCATGACACTCTCAGACTCCCACCATCACCAGCCCTGCCTGTGTCAGGACCGTTTCAGGCTGATGGAGGCTCAGATTAGCATCATGTGTTGAGCACCTTTAGAGGAGAGAACTGGTCCAGGATCCCTCCTTGTCTCTTTGTTTCACATAAACTCTGTTCCTGTGAGTCACCTTCCTGCCGACGGCGCTTCTGTTTCACCTGAAAACATTCAGTCCAGGAACTGTTGAGGTCAGTGTTGGGTCTGATATTCCTGCAGGATCTGTGTTGTGTTGTTGGGACGGAGCTCAGACTTTATATTTATCAGCTCTGAGGATCACAGATCAGAGGTGTTCATGATTCAGTCTGTGGCTAACAGCTGATTCTGTTGTGTTTAGACAGTAACTCAGGCTATATGTGTTCAGTTTGAAGGTTTTGATGCAGGCGTGTGCAAGGTGTCCCTGGAAACATCACCCTGGTCCTGGGGCTGAGTCTAGATCCTGATCTTAGTCTCTGGGTCATTACCCACAGCATGACCACAGGTCCAGTTTGGAGTGTAGATTGGTTCAGTACACTCATCACTGCAGTCACATCCTAAACTATTCAGGTCTCCCACCCGAACAAAAGTACCAGAGACCTGTGACTTGTTCCCAACCTGGAGTTGGTAATCTGACCATGGTCTCCATGGATCGACCATGGAGTTAGAGGTCTCTGTAAACTACTAGAGGTCCTGGTTACATGACAACAACAGGACCACAAGCAGTTTATACAGCTAGAGTTGGTTGGTTTTATGGATGGATGGATGGATGGATGGATGAATGGTTGGTTGGTTGGGTGATGGATGGATATATGGTTGGATGGATGATGAATTGATGGATGTATGGTTGGTTGGTTGGATGCATAGATGGATGGATGGATGGATGGTTGGATGGATGATGAATGGCTGGATGTATGGTTGGTTGGATGAAACAACACAGACAGATTAGCTTCGGCTGAAAACAGGTGAACCTGCAGAGTTTATTCAGAGAAATCAGCTGTAATGATGTGATGAGAGGAAAAACGCTTCAACAGGTAAAATTTGTCTTCTCTGACAGAGAGGAGGAAATAAAGATCTGTATCTGCATTCAGCTGACATGCCTCCAACATGCCAAAAACATGCCTCCAACACTCCTCCAACATGCCTCCAACACTCCTCCTACATGCCAAAAACATGCCTCCAACATGCCTCCAACACACCTCCAACATGCCTCCAACACGCCTCCAACATGCCTCCAACACTCCTCCAACATGCCTCCAACATGCCTCCAACATGCCTCCAACACACCTCCAACATGCCTCCAACACGCCTCCAACATGCCTCCAACACTCCTCCAACATGCCTCCAACACGCCTCCAACATGCCTCCAACACACCTCCAACATGCCTCCAACACGCCTCCAACATGCCTCCAACACGCCTCCAACATGCCTCCAACACGCCTCCAACATGCCTCCAACACACC